GAAGAATGACCTCAGAAAGATCTCAAAGCCCACCTGAATGGGCGATCAGATCACCGCATTTCTGGGAGCACCAAGGCTCTGCTATGGGATGTCCAGTTCTCTTTATAAAACTTGACAGTCCACAGGGCTCTAGGCGCTTCCTCTTTTTATACAGCAGTCTGAGGTCACCACCAATAAATTACTGGTTTAAGGGAAACAATGACAAGCCTTTTCCCTGGAGGACAGGGTTCACTCACTCGATGATTTCCTAAAGTAGTGCCCTCCTTCCCAGTTTGACACCATAATTTTTGAGGCAACAGCACTGAGTCTGTTTGTTACTGTTCTTTACACCCATAAAGCCACACAAGCACCTGCCACAGGAGCACAGCAAACTTTGTGAACAATCATCCTCCTGGCAGTGGAACTAGTGGAGTAATGATCATTGTACTGTTAATTAAGTGGCTGTTTTGTTTAAATGACTTACCAGGATGGCTCTAAATTGCCTACCTTTGTGTACTAGTCTAGTTTATTCTCTTTGTGTAGGAAATTTGTTGACCAGTCTTGACTGTTATAAAGCGTTGACGGAAATCACTAATCATCCCGTTTTAGTGAAGGCCGACCTTTTCAACATTCAAGATATAACTTAAATCTAGAGTAAAAATGGCTGTCCCCCACAAAGCAGTAATAATTCCCTAAATTGGTAAAGAGCTGTAGGATGGAAGGTTTGGGTTTGCTTTCAAAGCCACTTTTCATCTGTAGGTGTTGGGGACACAAGGATTTAGGGAAGGAGGAGAGAACAGGGTGTAGTTAGGCAAGGGACAATTTCTTCCACCTAACACCAGCTTGGAAATAGTTGACATTTGATACCATTGTCTCTTTGAGATTTGTAACCCTGTGTTAGAATTACACGCTCATTGAGAAATAGTCTCCGTTTTTTTGTTTATTTGTTTTTTAATCACTTGGGAAAACATTAACTTTCTCTAAGTATCCCTTACTACTATCAAGGAACTTTGTACTTTTTTCCTCTTTCAGAAACAAAAGTGATCAATTTTTTTTTTAAGAGACAGGAGAGGGGCTGGCAAAGGAACTGGAAGACCCTGTGTATTCTGAAGGCCTTTAATGCCTGCTGCCATCCACCTCCTCCTGGCACCTCCTCCTTTCTCTAGCCTCCTGCCATCCACCACTGGGAAAGGTCTGTTCCTAAGCTTTCTGCCTAGCTAAAATGGAGCCAATTTAGGGACAGAGTACAGCTTTTCATTACACACACACAGATACACACACACACTAACACACAAATCAACCAGCTGCAGAGCGAGCAACAGGAGGTGGCAGGATGCTTGCCACTGTGTCATTGGATTTGTAAGCATCCCCTCCAAACTGTGGCCAAGGCTAGTTATTCCCTGGGCTAAAGCCAACCTGAGAAGTTGGGGACCCTGCCAAATCCCTGACAGCCCCTAAACCTGACTCTGTTGCCAGAGCCACACAGGAAAGTCATTCATTCTTTAAAGAAAGGTTCAGTAAAAGATTAAGGAGTCCAGTATTTGCTCAGCAGTGGGCTAGCTGGATAGAGGATATCTGGGCATTCACTTTAAGGAACCTAAAATATTGGGGGGATAGGAGTATGACATACACTCACTTAAAACTTGAGTAACATCACAAGGGATGCCACTCAAAGCAGTATGACCTGGGCTTCAGAGCCAGACAGACTGGGTGCAGATCCTCATTCCAGGGTCACAGGCCAGTTCCTCATCTCTCCAGACTCTAATTTCTTTACCATGTAATAGAGGTAATGGCACCTGCCTTGTAGAGTTACTGAGGGGATTATATGAGGTCAGTTACACATAACAAGTGCTCAATAAATGTTTGAATTTTGTTTGTTTTTTAAAGAACATCATAGAATAGTTGAGAATTAGGTTTAGGTAGCCCAGTGGCAAAAGGAGTTTAAGATTAGCCCATTGGAAAACAAGCCTTCCTTGAAAAGAGGAAAGAATTATTGTGAAAAAAAGTCTCACATCTAGTAGATACTTTAGAAGTGGAAACATACGTGAAGGGAGGCCTTCTTATCCCTCTTGGTCATAAAATTTGTTGGCTTTTTTATGAATATGAAAATGATTATTGTCTATTACAGAAAATCTGGAAAGCATAGAAAAACTCCAGGAAGAAAGCAAAAATCAAATATAATTCTGCACCAAGGAAAACTCCTACAAACATTTTGGTTTTCCTTCCCATATTTTCCAAATGCGTATTTTAACATAACTGAGATCACACTACATACACAATTCTGAATCCTGCTTTTTGCCCTTAATGTTTCAGAAATATTTTCCCATGTCACTAAAAATTCTTCACAAATAACATTCGCAATGTCCACATGGAATTTCAGATGTGGATGAACCAAAACCTTGTCATCTATTCCACTAACAGTGGTTATTTAGGGATGTTCAGACATTTCACTATTTTTAAAAAAAATGCTTCCACAAATACCTTTGTGGCATAAGTTTCTATGAGTGGAATTACTGTTCTAAAGTTTCTGCTGAATACAAAATGCTTTCCAGTGAGGCTGTCCCAAGCCACATTCCCACCAGTGACAAGCGAGAGACAGCTGGTCTTTTCAAATACGGAGACCAAATATTATCTTTGAAAAAAAATGGATTTTTGCCTAATTTGGTAGTCACCAAATAGCATCTCATTGTTCTTTTAATTATCTGCTTCCTTTTAGTAGAGATCCCTAAAAAGATCTGAAAGGAGTCTTCAGATAAAGGAAGGAGCTTTCTTTTGTCTGCCAACAATCAACAAAAATATTTATTATGCAAACCATTTTGCTCCGAGTTTTATCCTCTTTCCCTTTTTGGACAGATTTGGGAGATTTAACCTTTCAGGTTTTAGATATCGTGCAGGGAGGAGTTTTGAGGTACGGTGCAGCTTACGGTCTAGGATAAAACATACCGATTCTGCCACTACCAGGCTTTGTGAAAAGCAAGTCATGAAAATGTTCTGAAATTCCAGACCTTCAGTAGGTAGGATCTACCGTGTCTATAAAAATATGAAGATCCTGAAGTTGTATTAAAGATTTGAAAAAAGTAAAAGTGTTTTTATGGTTTTATTTTCATTTTTATTTCTTACCGTTATCGTTTATTGTAAAGGATATTATAAAGGATACAGATGAAGAGAGAGATACATAATGTAAGGCCTGTGAGAAGGGGCGTGGAGCTTCCAAAACCTCTTCCAGCCACCACCCTCCAAGAACCTGGAGTTTCTTTTTTTTTTTTAATTCCACAAATGTAATATTAGAATTGATTTTATCTGGTCCATTAGTGTGTGTCCTAACTTGTTCGTTTCTGAGAGTTCCATCTCCCAGCCCGGATATCATCTTTCCTGTATCGGTGAAAGTGCAGAGTAGATGAGAAGCTTCAACCCCCAACATTAGGGAGGGGTCCCAGACAAAGGGGGAAAGTCATACTCTCTAGAGAAAAGGTTCCCTGCCTCCGAACTACCTCTGGAACACTCCAGACTGAAATGTTTCCTCTTTTGATCAGAAAAAAGGGGTCGTGCGTAGGGTGCAGTCTGGGCAATTCCTCTCCTAGGGACTGTTTCGGGGTGGGGGCCTCTGAGATACGTGTCGCGGCGCAAGCACCTCGGTCCCAGCTCTCGCCGCAGCGGCCACTCCGCCTGCGGGCGCAGTTTCTCCGCCCTGCGCCACACTCGCTCCCCGGCCCCACCCAGTCTCCGCGGCGGCGGGAAGTGGCGCGAGGTGGAAAGCACTGTCTGCGCGCCCACTGCAAACCTCAGCCAGTCTGGGATCGCTTTAAACGCTGACCCCCACCCCCACTCCGCCCCGCCCAGTTCTTCAACCTAATTTCTGATTCGTGCCAAAGCTAGTCCTCCGCTCAAAATCGTGGAAGACGCCGAGTATGGGGACCGAAGACCTGGGTTCAAGCCGGGCTTGGCATCCCTGCACATCCCTGGCATTTCATCTCTCCGGGCTTATTTGCTGGTTCCTCCGCATGCGGGCCTTGTCTGGTTCACGCTGGATCCCCAACGCCTAGAACAGTGCGTGGCACGCAGTTCGTCCTTCTATAAATATCTGACTAAACGCATCTCTGTGATGGCAATACCCACACGGTGTTGTGAGAATGAATGAGTGATTCTGTGCAAGATCCTCGTGATCTGTTACAAAAAGTACTGGTCGCTAAATTACTCTTATAATAAAGCATAGTTATGGAATAATAAAGCACTATTTACGATTGGTTACTACTATTATGAAATTACTGAGCAATGCACAGCTACGTCTGATCACAGTCTCCAGAATTATGCCAAATCCTACCTTCTTCTGAAAGTATCTCCTAATTATCTGCACCTGACCCTTGTGATGCTGTGAATGTGCACGTATAGTTACATCCTCCGAAAGAAGGATCTTTACTCCTTTTTTCTTCTGAATAGGCTGCGTGTGCTGAAAGCGCGGGGAATGGCGTCGGAAGCTTGGCCCTACTTCCAACATTGCCGCCTACTGGTTGGGTTACTCCGGCAAGTCACTTCCCCTCCCTGGGCCTCAGTGTCTCTACTGTAGCATTCCCAAGTCTGGAATTCCATCCACTTTAGCAAGGATGGACGCGCCACAGAGAGACGCGTCCCTAGCCCGCGCTTCCCACCTGTCTTGAGGCGCATCCCGCTTTTCTCAAACTTAGCAAACGCCTCTGGGAGGTCCTGTCCCGCTCCAGACTCACTACCGACCACCCGTGAACAGCAGGGTCCCCTGGGCTTCCCAAGCCGCGAACCCCTCCGCCCCGCCCGTGCGCCCTCCTTCCTCGCGTCTGCCGCTTTCCCCTACCCCGCCTTCTCCCTCCGCGCCCCAGCGGCGCATGCGCGGCGCTCGGAGCGTGTTTTTATAAAAGTCTGGCAGCGGCTGGAAACTTCAGTTTGTTGGCTGCGGCAGCAGGTAGCAAAGTGACCCCAAGGGCCTGAGTGCTCCAGTAGCCACCGCGTCTGGAGAACGAGCGGTTACCATGGAGGGGATCAGTGTAAGTCCAGTTTCAACCTGCTTTGTCATAAATGTACAAACGTTTGAACTTAGAGCGCAGCCCCTCTCCGAGCGGGCAGAAGCGGCCAGGACATTGGAGCTCCAAAAAAGGGTCACGGAAAGGAGTTTTCTTGACCATGGCTATGTGGTGCGCGGGGGTGGGGGGGAGCAGGATTGGAATCTTTTTCTCTGTGAGTCGAGGAGAGACGACTGGAAAGAGCGTTCCAGTGGCTGCATGTGTCTCCCCCTTGAGTCCCGCGGCGCGCGGCGGCTTGCACGCTGTTTGCAAACACAAGAACATTATGTGCACAAGTGCAGAAAAGGCGTGCGCGCTACCTCGGGACTCAGACCACCGGTCTCTTCCTTGGGGAAGCGGGGATTTCTTGGAGCGAGTTACATTTTCTGAATTTAGAGGCAGAGGGCAGCGTGCCTGGGCGGAGTTCCCAGAAGGAGATTGCGCCCGCTTTAACTTTGGGGATAAGCGCCTGGTGACTGTTCTTGACGCTGGGTGTGTGTTTGTGAAACTCTGCGGGGCCCACGGAGCTGTGCCAGTGTCCCGGCACACTAGGCGGAGGGCGGGAAAGGCGGGTGGACCCACCGCGCGGATCCTCTGAGGGGATCGAGTGGTGGCAGCAGCTAGGAGTTGATCGGCCCGCGCGCTTTGGGTTTGAGGGGGGAACCTTTCCGCCGGCCAAAGCGCGCCTCTTCCCCACGGCCGCGCATGTGTCCGGCAGTTCGAGAGTTTGGGATGGTGCAGAGGTCAGAGGAGTGGTTTGACCTCCCCTTTGACACCGCGCAGCTGCCAGCCCCGAGACACGCGCTCCGGGTACAGGAGCGGGTATGGGGGTGGGGGTGCGGGGGAGGTTAGGACCGCACCTGGGCTGCCCGGTCGCCGCCGCGAAGACGGGCAGGTGCAAGTGGGGAAACCGTTTGGTTCTCTCCGAGTCCAGTTGCGATGTTTAACTGTCGGTGATTTCCAGAAGCCTTTTGAAACCCTCTTGCTAGGGAGTTTTTGGTTTCCTGCAGCGGCGCGCAATTCAAAGACGCTCGCGGCGGAGCCGCCCAGTCTCTCCCCAGCACCCTGTGGGACTGAGCCTGGCGTGTCGCCCAGCGGAGCCCCTGCAGCGCTGCTTGCGGCCGGTCGGTGTGGGCGTGGTGGGCAGCCGCGGCGGACCGGGGCTGGACGACCCGGCTCCCAGCGTGCCCACTGCCTGGAGGCTTCCAACTGCCCGCCTCCGGCCGGGTTAACTGGATCAGTGGCGGGGTAATGGGAGGCCACCCGGGAGAGTGAGGAAATGAAACTTGGGGCGAGGACTACGGGTGCAGACCCCGTTACATTCTCCACCCAGGAAAATGCCGTGTTCCCTAACGTCCCAAACGCACCAAGTGATAAACACGAGGATGGCAAAAGAGACCCACGCCCCGGAGGAGCGGCCGCTTGGGGGAGGAGGTGCCGTTTGTTCATTTTCTGACACTCCCGCCCAATATACTCCAAGCACCAAAGGGCCTTCGTTTGAAGACCGCATTCTCTTTACCCACTACATGTTGCTGGAAGCGCAGAATGATTTGTGTTTAGGCAGGCGTGGGAAAATTGAGTTTTTGCGCCGTAGGAGAATGAGTCTTTGCAACGCCCCCGCACCCCCCCCCACCCGTGCTCCTCCCTCCCCTCTTCCCTCCCTTGGCGAAAAACTTCATACAAAAAGTTAATCACAGCCCCTCCTCGCAGCACCCACCCCACCCCCCACGCCGCCTGGGAGTGGCCTCTTTGTGTGTGTGTGTGTGTGTGTGTGTTTTCTCCTCCTAAGGAAGGTTTTTTTCCTCCCTCTAGTGGGCGGGGCAGAGGAGTTAGCCAAGATGTGACTTTGAAACCCTCAGCATCGCAGCGCCCTTTTGTTCTAAACAAAGAATTTTGTAATTGGTTCTACTAAAGAAGGATATAATGAAGTCACTATGGGAAAAGATGGGGAGGAGAGTTGTAGGATTCTACATTAATTCTCTTGTGCCCTTAGTCCAGTACTTCAGAATTTCCTGAAGAAAGCAAGCCTGAATTGGTTTTTTAAATTGCTTTGAATTTTTTTTAAACTTGGATAATGCTTGCTGAATTGGAAGTGAATGTCCATTCTTTTGCCTCTTTTGCAGATATACACTTCAGATAACTACACCGAGGAAATGGGCTCAGGGGACTATGACTCCATAAAGGAACCCTGCTTCCGTGAAGAAAATGCTCATTTCAATAGGATCTTCCTGCCCACCATCTACTCCATCATCTTCCTGACTGGCATTGTTGGCAATGGATTGGTCATCTTGGTCATGGGTTACCAGAAGAAACTGAGAAGCATGACAGACAAGTACAGGCTGCACCTGTCAGTGGCTGACCTTCTCTTTGTCATCACGCTTCCCTTCTGGGCAGTTGATGCCGTGGCAAACTGGTACTTTGGGAACTTCCTGTGCAAGGCAGTCCATGTCATCTACACAGTCAACCTCTACAGCAGTGTCCTCATCCTGGCCTTCATCAGTCTGGACCGCTACCTGGCCATTGTCCACGCCACCAACAGTCAGAAGCCAAGGAAGCTGTTGGCTGAAAAGGTGGTCTATGTTGGTGTCTGGATCCCTGCCCTCCTGCTGACTATTCCCGACTTCATCTTTGCCAGCGTCAGTGAGGCAGATGACAGATTTATCTGTGACCGCTTCTACCCCAATGACTTGTGGGTGGTTGTGTTCCAGTTTCAGCACATCATGGTTGGCCTTATCCTGCCTGGTATCGTCATCCTGTCCTGCTATTGCATTATCATCTCCAAGCTGTCACACTCCAAGGGTCACCAGAAGCGCAAGGCCCTCAAGACCACGGTCATCCTCATCCTGGCTTTCTTCGCCTGCTGGCTGCCTTATTACATTGGGATCAGCATCGACTCCTTCATCCTCCTGGAAATCATCAAGCAAGGGTGTGAGTTTGAGAACACTGTGCACAAGTGGATTTCCATCACCGAGGCCCTAGCTTTCTTCCACTGTTGTCTGAACCCCATCCTCTATGCTTTCCTTGGAGCCAAATTTAAAACCTCTGCCCAGCACGCACTCACCTCTGTGAGCAGAGGGTCCAGCCTCAAGATCCTCTCCAAAGGAAAGCGAGGGGGACACTCGTCTGTTTCCACTGAGTCTGAGTCTTCAAGTTTTCACTCCAGCTAACACAGATGTGAAAGACTTTTTTTTATACGATAAAGAACTCTTTTTTTAAGTTACACATTTTTCAGATACAAAAGACTGACCAATATTGTACAGTTTTTATTGCTTGTTGGATTTTTGTCTTGTGTTTCTTTAGTTTTTGTGAGGTTTAATTGACTTATTTATATAAATATTTTTTTTGTTTCATATTGATGTGTGTCTAGGCAGGACCTGTGGCCAAGTTCTTCGTCGCTGTATGTCTGGTGGTAGGACTATAGAAAAGGGAACTGAACATTCCAGTGCGTGTAGTGAATCACGTAAAGCTAGAAATGATCCCCAGCTGTTTCTGTATAAATAATCTCTCCATTCCCGTGGAACATCTCTTTCTTCCTGTTCTTAAGACGTTTGGCTACACCATGTGATTTTTCTGTAGAAGATGGCACTTATAACCAAAGCCCAAAGTGACATAGAAATGCTGGTTTTTCAGTTTTCAGGAGTGGGTTGATTTCAGCACCTACAGTGTACAGTCTTGTATTAAGTTGTTAATAAAAGTACATGTCAAACTTACTTAGTGTTATGTTCTGATTTCTGTTGACATTCTTTTGGCTGGCAGAAGACAAAAATAATAATAGATACGTTTATGGTAGGCAAAGCACTATCCTAGGTATTTCATTGTAATATTTTACTTACCCCTTATCACAACTCTGTGATAGATTCTGCTTCTGTTACTAATTACATCTTACAGAAGAGGAAACGGAGGCACAGAAAACCTAAGTAACAAAGGCATGTGGTAAGTAGCAAAGCCTGTATTTGAAACTGGGTGACATGACTTACGAATCTGAAGCCTTAACCACTTTACATTCAGATGAAAGTTTAGAAATGGCCAGCCAGCACCCATTTGTATGCAAGATCATCTTTCAGAAGGATAAGCATGTATAAAGAAGAAAAGGTTTGCAATCATGTTTGGATTTTACTCCACCATCCACTTGTGAAACCCAGGTCTGTGCAATGCCAGGCAGTGTGTGCTTTCCTTATCCAGTCTTAGTGTAGATAACCATCACTCCCTTTTCACAGACAAGAGAACTGAGATTCAGAGACTCCATACATGGCACTTTCAAGAGGGCAGTCAAGAACTAATTCTGTTTATTGTTCCAGCTCTTGCTTTTAACTATTACCCACTATTGTCCTTCAGAACACCTGGGCATAAGTCAACTGAACTGCTAATAAAGAAATCCAAAAGTGAATGTTTTCTTCACAAAATTAACCATGACCAAAATACTCCTCTTGTAATATCTTCTATGCAAATCTCAAACACTTTTATTCTTAAACTATTGCAACACCTAGCACCTCCTCAAGGACTCAGCCAAGCAGCTACAAGTTAATACTGTTAGAGTCAGAAGGAAGGTCTACTGAAGCAAGCTCCTTGTTGCTCACATTTTGCACAAGATTTTGGAGACTTATGTAACCACCCGTTGCTATTTACATGACCGTTGTGCAAACCCCAGGCTCTTGAGTAAATTTCAGCTTCAGTTTCCATTTAAAGATAATTTCTAAACTAGCCATACCTACCTCACATTGGAACACAAACAGGGTACTCCAGGCATACACTCGGATAATAAGTAGGTTATAATTAGGGCAATATTTGGTCTACTTTTAGTAATTGTTTCTGGCACAGAAAATCCATTTTGGAGGAAAAATCGCAATGCCTTATCTTTCTGAGGCAAATCACATTTGTTCAAGGCAAATTATAGATCCTGTGAAGGGAAATAACTTAATTACTTAAAATAGAATCCAATTTGGCTGTACATTTTTGCTGCCGTCTATGGATCTGGGGTAATTCAAAGTGGTATTCGTATTCCACTTGAGGACACAATTAGATTTCAGATAGGAAATTATCTTGAGGTTTCTTGGTTTTCCCTGGGAAGCCTAATTGGATCACCCTTCATTTAAGCATAGTTTTACATGCACTCTCTCAAAGGCTTAGACTTAAAGCCACGACCATTGAGACAGACTTCACTTGAACCCTCTCTATAAATATTTATTCTCCGGGAGACAATAGAAGAAATTCTTGGAAGGCATGCTTTTTCTTTCTCATCTTGGCTTGAAACCTCCTTACCCCAGATTCCTCTCCTTTACCGTGGAGTCACAACAAAAGGAACTGAGCCAAAACAAAATTCCCAGTGTCACCAGTTTTAACGGGTATTTCATTCTCCCTTGGAACAAAGGTGGGATTTTTCAAAAAGAAAAACAAGCCTGGGCTCTCTCCCTGCCCCAAAAGTGTGCCCCCCACCCCCATCATTCTCCGTCCCAACCCTGCCGTGTTAGAGCGTCTCCAAAGCGCTCCCTGTGTCGTGGTGTGTCTGACAATGTGGGGAAACCCAGTCGGCGGGCCAGCCCTTGCATGAAGTAGCTGACTGTTCCCTCTCTTCATCTCTTATGAATGGGGTCCTTGAAGGTCAGTCATGTAGATTCAGTTGTA